TATAAAGGCAACCCCATTTTTCCTTGTCTCTAGGAATGGAAATACTAGATATTTTTTATACTGAAGAGTGAATAAATCTGTTGTATAAGTACAGTTAGAATGTTCCTTTGAAGCATGATGAGACTTTGTCTCATGTACTTTGAAAGTGTTATCCGGAGGACCAGCTCTTGAAGAAGGATTTTGTTTGGAAAAGTAGTAGGTTTGTGAGAAAGAGGAAGATTCTCAACAGGATGGAATGGCAGAGTGGCTGCAATGACAGGCTCACACATGGCAGGAGGTGTGAGCAGAGCGCAGGACCAAGCAGAGCTTCGTTCCAAGCTATATAGGGTCATTATGAGTTAAAAAGACTCTACGACACCTCACCATGACAGTATCATCAAATATCCATTACTCATCTTTCAATTCACTATACTGTGATGGCTCATATGCTGTTGTGATGTCACTAGCCTTTTAAATTCTTGTGGATTAAGGAAAATTTTAATGGCACTCCCAGACCAAGATAGACTAGGAAGAAAAGCCTGCAGACCTTCTTTCAAAAATTCATTCAATTGGACTTGTAGGACCCACATTCAACTTTTTCTTGAAGAGATTCACATTAGAAAGACAGGTTACTAGCGAAGGGGAGAAGGAAAAAGGAAAAAAAAGAAAGGAAGACATTGTCTTTTTAAAACTGGTAAAAAGCTTAGGCAGGGTAAAGTTGGCTCCCATCAGAGCCCACTCCCAAGACTTGAGGTTGGAGTCTGCTCACTCATAGCGATTACCTGAATCCACAAAAGTGGAAATGGAGGGAATACAACAATGGAGAAACAGGCTGAGCTTGGTTTCTTCAGTGCTGCTTCCTAGAATGCACAGATGTACAGGTGAGAATTGTTGGCTGAGGAGCAGGGAGTCATGAGGACTCCTGGCTTGTTGATGTGGTCCCATGTGGGTCCAGGGTTAAGTGAAGAAACCAATAGTCTGGAACGCAGGGATAGCTGTGGACTCCTGAGATTGCAGCTGATGTCCATTTGGACCTAACTACAAATGGCTGGGAATAAGTAGACCAGAACCCAACTAGATGAAGAGGAGATGATCCATGCTGTGAGCTAGGTTCGATGGCTGCAACCAATGGCTTGTTCTGGACTGGACTTGGCTTGTGAATGCAGATGCTCAGAGCTTCCAAGTTGAACAGAAAATTCTTTGAGAAAAGAGATATGCTTGTTTCCTCAGAGTATTGGTTTGATAGGGATGGAACAATCAGAAATTGGATATCTAAAATGGGGGTAGTAAGGCATGAGACAGGAGGGAGCTGGTTTACACACTTTCACAAATGTCATTACTAGTAAGATGATTGTACAGGGGGAAACCATGCAATTTACATGAATAAAATATAATGTAAATGAAAGAGTGTATAAACATAATGCATGAAACAGTGTATATTACTAATAAAAATATTAGTAATAAAAAGAATTCACTCATTGTCATTAACTTGCGACTGTCTCATAGCTGACCTTCTTGTGGGTTTTCATGAGTTTGTAAATTGCACTGACAGAGATTTCCTCTCTCCTATGGAGCAAGCGGTGAGTTCAGAGAGGTGCAGGACAACTTCCCACAGACTACACCAGAAGAGGAGTTTGTCCTTTATGTTTTAGGTCTTCAAACTTTGGTTTGTGCATGGGATTACCTTATTCTCATTCTACATTACCTTATCCTCAACCTAAGGAAACAATTTATTGATCTATTAAGATTTTTTATAACATCACTTATTTTGAATGGGCATCTCAGACATCACCAAGAAAAACTTAGGAAAACTGTTTTGTCTTTCACCGTAACTTGCACATAACTTTACTCTCTTTTTTGTATTACTCATTGTATTTTATGTAATGTATTGTTTCTGCTAGAAAATATTACACAATTTGCAATCATAGATCTTGTCAGTTTTCAATGTTTTATATCTCATCTTGCCATGTATGTGGACAGAATAGATTCTCAATAGTTTATTTGTATCCTGAATAAATGAATAAACAGCCCTGGAAGAATGTTTTTCAACATGATTTGTAAATTTCCACTCGAATAAAAAAAATAGGAAAATTCTTTATGCCAAATAAATACTAAGTAAATATTTGTTGGCTACATTGCAAGTGAGGCTTAGGAACCTAAAAAAAGCCAAATGACTTTGCTAGAACATTTTTTTAAGATTAATTTCAGCCCACTTTTAAGGCTTCAGTTATATATCCAAGAATATCACAATTTTCTGGATGATTTAAGACACTGGTTTATGAGGTCCCAACTCTTCTTACTATTTCTTAGTTGTTGGAATGGACGGAAAACCTCATAAGCAGTTCCTTACTTCACCTCTGCCTTGCATGCGGACTTCCGAGTTGTAAAACAACCCAGTGGTAGATGGAATTTGCTCCAGGACTTAAGAACAATAGATGACATAGTTGAGCCTTTACATCTTGTG